ACGTGGACAACCAGAGACCACAAGAGAAATGCTGGCAAGGTAACGCTGGTGGAAAATCCATATTTATCCTCTGCGTACTTAATACATTATCAGTGTAAATCAGTGAAATAAAGGGAAATTCTCTAAAAATAGTAACATGGCTTTAGATGAGGGGGCATGACTCCCATCTTTCTACAGAGGAGTAATTATCTAGCAAAGCTATCTTTGTCAACTCACTTTTTTACAAACATACCACACACACACACACACACACACACACACACACACACACACGTCCAGCAATCATAGAACACTTTGTCCTCATTTCACTATCTACAGATGTTGAATCTGGGGAAGACAGAAAGGCGGGCTTCAGCTTATGGAATCACTATCAAAGCACTAAATTCTAGCAGCTTCTCAATAAAATAAGCCAGCCAACATGGAATGGCTTCCTAAGTTCTTCCTCCATGTTGGCCCACTGCTGTTCTTCGCATAAAGGAGCCCATAAAGACTCTCTTCCCCGCACAGGAGCCTCCTAAGAAGGGAGGGTGGGTCGGGAGAGTTCCAACCACAGCAATGGGAGAGGAAACAAAGGGAGAAGACTTATCTGTCAGCTGTGAGTCAGGAAGCGAGAGTGCAGCATGATGGGGAGTTGTATTTAGAACTTCCCATGGAGACCACCTGAGAGACACAACATATCTGAGAACATCCACAACAATATGGTATGCATCTGAATGATAAATAACAAACAGAACTTTCCTTACAGAAACTCACATGGGAAAATAGTAAGGAAAACTACTCATCCTTAATTAAAAGAAAATAATACCAGAGCTTGGCCAAAGGCAAATCTTATCTCTAAAGGGCATTTGCCTTGCATGCGGCCAACCCGGATTCCCAGCATCTCATATGGTCCCCCGAGCACCACCAGGAGGAATTCCTGAGGGCATGAGCCAGGAGTAACCCCTGTGCATCGCAGGGTGTGACCCAAAAAGAAAAAAAAAAAAGGACCATCAGATACTACAAGAGAAACAAACCTAGAGCTAAGAACAGAGTATCTCCTAACTTTAGAAGATTGTTTATTTAAATGTGTAAAATTCATGGCAGAATGAAACATATTGTTCTTCTCCTACGAAAGTAACCTAATTTTCCAAGCAATGAAAAGTATCGTGGCAAAATCTCAATAGAAACTGAATGCACCTGTCTAGGGGCTTGCCCCGGCCATAGAGATTCCGGACCAGAATATGGACCGGGTCACTCTTTTGACTAGACTGAAAAACAGAAAACAGTGAGGATGCACTCACAATTCTGACATGTAAATAAAAAACAGTAAGGAGAGAGAGAAAAAAGGAACTCAGAAGAACCACAGGAAAACTTACACCAAGTCGGTCCTATTTTAGGGCATACACCAGCTCAGAGTCAGACTCTGAATTGTCAATATTTTTACCCCACAATAGAACACAGACTACCTAGCACAAGAGGAAATGCAGAGGAGGTATTTTACTTATCAATAAAATCAAAGGTGTTATGAGACGAAGGCTGCATCGGAACTGCAGAGGTTGGGTGAGGGGCTAGCCCAAAGTCAGGGCGAAGGCATAGAAACATGACTTGGGGAAAGCCCGACAAAATCCACTGCCCCTGACGGTCTGACAGACTCCCTAGCTTTGCCGACGATGAGGCACCTAATCTGAGAGCAATCATCCCCAAGAATGACTTCACTCGAAGACTGTTAAGGTTTGGATCTGGAGACCCATCAGTGCCTTGGAAACAACAGGAGCATTTCCTTTGATTATAAACTCAGACTGGCTAAAGCAGCAGCTGACTCTGTGGAAGAGCGAGCACAGACTGAAGGTGCATGTGCAGGTGTCCCCAGCAGCCCCGAGGGTGCCCTGAGGCTCGCCAGGAGTGATCCCAGAGCACAGAGGCAGGAGTAAGCCTGAGGACCACCAGGAGTGGTACAAACTCTTTCAGTGCTGGAGAAAGAGCCTGGGGCAACATCAGCCTCTGAGGAGGCACCGGCATAGTGCTCCTGAGCTGTCCCAGAACCACCAGGGCAACGTCCGCATGAGAAAGGCTGAGCCGAATCTTCCTGCTCTTCATGCAGCATTCAGAGCCCAGCTGATTTCCGCACTGAACCACAAACGCCATCTCCTTCTATTGTAACGTGCACCTGGCTTTTGCATAAGATATACTTATTGTGGCTGTTTCAATGGTGATAATTGTGGATAAGCTCGTTTTCTAGATTATTATTAGTGAATTCAAAGAGTCATAAAGATACATTGGCATACTATATTACAAAGAGAATTACTTATTTAAAATAGAAGATACTTTGGAATGAACTTGCAAATTAATTGAAGTTTACTGTTGAATGTGAAGTGAATGTAGCTATAGTTAGCTGTTTATATTTAAGTGCAGAAGACTTCAGAAATACAGTAACGTACTGGCTTAAAATAAATTCTTGCAAATTTAAAGGCAGAGTGTATTCTTGGAGAAGCAATGATAGTAGGAGTTCATGGACACAAAAAAAATATTCAAAACGTCTAGGTTTCTGTGGCAAATGAATGGTACAGCAATGCTGACAAAACGTATTGGTTCATCACACAAGAGTGCAAGAACAAGAACCCACTTGTAATGTATTACACTTTCTCATCCATCCGTCAAAGCAAAAGGTTTAAATACTTACAAACACAATGCATTATTAATTTAATTGTCACAGCCTATTTAGCTAACTTCTACTACTATTTGCTATAATATGCAGTGCAGAAGAGGGGAGAATCAAATTCAAAACCTAAGAAAATAAACTGATTATACTGTCCAGAAATAAAATGAAATTTAGCAAGCTTGCAAAATTATAACCAAGGCATTAATGTTTTAAATAGGTAAGGAAAAAACTGTTTAACTCAATTTAGAGAGCAGCTATGCTCCGAATGTTGGTTCAACGTGCTGATGAAGAGTTTCTTTGTTTCCTCAGCCCACTGGAAGGACTCAATCCCCTTTCCGTGGACGGCCGAGGGTGGCTGTGACGTGTGAGATTTGCCACTGCACTCTTGGTCCTGCCCCACTCGGGACACCTTTGGGGAAAACATGGGAATGAAGCTCTGGCATTTCCAGGCAGTACTTCCCGGCAGCTAGAGAATGCCCTAGAAACTGCCATTATAAACGAGACATCTAAAACCAGGGTTTTTCATAGCAGAAAAAAACTGCATTGACGACATGGAAGAAAGAACGCTGGAAACCGGGAACCCGGAGACGTCAACCGCACAGAAGAGGGGTCAGCTTTGCCATCCGAGAGTCATGTCTGGTTTCTGTGACAGAAAAAGCGCCAGTGCTGGAGGCCAAGCTCCCCACGTCTCAGCGTCCTCGGCTTCTCCAGGAGGGGCCGGGGCTGGGCTGAGCGAGGCAAGGGCAGAGCTCCTGGAACACGTGGGCAGAAGCACATGGAAACTTGGGGCTTCCAAAACGTCAAGATGGACAGGAGCATGGACCATCCCTGAGGCACCCCACACATAAATGGCTATGTGACGGGATAAATATGAAACATTTCAAACATCTTAAACTGCTAAGTCAAAAGAAAAATGCTTCACGTGGACATAAACTTGACAGGCACAAGAGGTACAATGAGGAAGCATGTGCTTTCCACTGACCGACGCAGATAGTTTTCCTTTAAATATATTTTGTGAAGAACATGCCCTGATTTCCTAGAGGTAGATTCTCCACTGTGCAGTAGCAGTGACTAGTGTGAGGATGAGCAATGGGATTAAAATAACAATTACAGTAGCTATTGCTAATTATAAGAAACTGAATAAACTGTATATCCCTGAATCACCGTCCTCAGAGCTATAAAACTGGGAAAGAGGGCACTGCTCATTAAGCCTCAGTATAACAGAGACAACGCTGTGCAGGCAACAAAAACTCAGGAATTAAAAAGACCTCTTGTACAAAAAAAGAAAAAAACACCCTCTTGCTTCTCCTTTCTTAAATTTACAAAAACTAGCTTTAAGTCCAAATTAAGTGTCCAAATAGACGTTTGTGTTTTTGATTTTTGTTTTTCTTAAATTTCAAGAGCAATGTAGTCAGAGCTAGGAAAAGAGCTCAAGAAAGCTGGACCCTTGGATTCACTGCTAGCACCACCTGGTGTTCTGAGCACTGAGCCAGGAGTAGTCCCGCAAACATCCACGGGTATGAGGGAAAGAAAAAGGAGACAGAGGAGGAGGAGGAAGAGCAGAAGAGGGAAGAAGTGGAGGAGGGGGGGAGGAACAGAAGGAGGGGAGAAGGAGGGGGAGGAGGAAGGGGCATTCAGGACGCACTCAACACAGACACTCTGGCTGAAGCTGAATGTCACCTAGAGACAGAGAAGGCTGGGCAACATGGCGGGCCACACGAGCCCCAAAGCATCCTGCCTCCACCCAAACCCTGAGTCCAATAAGCCCCCAGAGGAAAGTGAGGGGACACTCTCTCAGCGAGCAAACACTGGGGCCCACTGCAAGCTTCCGAGGCAGAGCGAAAGCCTTCCGAGCAGCTTCCGGGGCTCTGGAATGTCAGATGGCACCATGAAGGCGGGGAGGCGCGGATGCTCTGCTGCAGGGAGGAGGCGGTACACACCGGACCATTCCCCGGGGGCCGCGCTGGGTTCAGGTCAGCAAGGAGACTCACGCCTGCAGCAGAAGCTCGCTAGGATCCAGCAGCAAGGAAAGAGAAGCCCTGGCAGTTGGTGACATGATAATTGCAGGGTTTCTCATGGCCTGGCAACCGTGGGACTACTTGGGAAATGATACAAGACGTATTTCTTCATTAATATCGGCAATGTTTACGGCTATAGTCAGAAGCACTCAAAAATGTTACTTTAACACTTCAACAAGAACACAGGAAAAGGAGGATATCCAACCACTGAGTATCACCAATGAGAAACACACGGGAGGTGATAAAAATTCTAGACAAAGCCACCGAAACGAAACCTAAAATGAAACAAAACCAAACCGAAGATGCAAACAGACTGTGCAATGCAGGAAGTATACGGAGATTACCTTTCTTTGGGGGTGCCAACTCCATGCTTGCCAAGCAGATGAGTATTTAAATGCTTCTTCATTACAAAAGCAACGCTAAAAGAAAAGAAATAAGAAAATGATTTTAAAACAAAACCTTTATGCTCCTAGAAATATACTACAAAGGATTTAAGAGCAGACACGTCTATACAAATGATCTACATGCGTGCAATGTGAAAATGCATGTGGATGTCAAATTGCACTTTACAGGGGCACTTTTGCTAAACAAAAAGTTTACATGCAGACTGTAGAACAGTGCAATACCTGAAAACCGGGAGAAATAACTACCCTTAATTGGTTCACTTTCTTACTTGATTCTACTAAGAGAGAACGAACAATAGTTTCAGTTCTTTAGAAACTCACTTGATTGCTAGTGAAAAGGATAAAGCAAAACCTTAATATAACAGTCACTGCTCCCTAGCTGATTCTGCGCTTCAGTCGTGAAGAGATTTAAGAAAATGTCATTTTATTAAATATTTAAGGAACTGTAGAAGAGAAAATGAATCACGTTCATGAAATTTCTTTTAAAAACATGGCGATAATCTGAAGTTTTTAAAATAATATACATGTTTATGTGTCTGCGGTGCACAGCACAATGTACTTAAATGCAAAAAAGATATCAATCACTGGAACAAAGAGAAAGGATGGCCTGACATGCCATCTTACTCCCCACACAAGTCAAATGAAAGGATCCCACTTCATAGGCATAACTATGAAGTACACACACGAACGAATGAGGAACCAGCTCGGGGGGAACATTCTGCTCCTGACCACACAGCGCCACCATGTAATCACCTCCTGTGATTATTCAAAACAATCGAGATCTCATCCAGAAGCATCAGACTTAAATGGCTCTCTTCATAAATTAAAAAAAAGAAAATTTATTGTTGTAACTCTCAGTGTAAAAGGGCTTGCAAACATTTTTGCTAATTATATATTACAGCTGTCCTTCATAAAGTTAATTACTAATAGCTGAAAGGCAATAGAAACTATTTACATATGTACATGAAAAGCATGACATATGCAAAAATATGATTTTAATTAGCTTTCTATGATATGAAGGGCTACAAATCAAATTGGCATGTTATAAGAGTCCTACCATTAAACACTAAATTCATTTGGATGTGTCTGCAGACAGGCAACGTGAGGCCTAAAGAGCTATGGTCGAATGGAAGAAACATGGGACAAAGCCAAGAAAATTTTCAAAAAATGTGAACGCTTCCCAAGATTTTCATTTTTGGTCTATTTCAATCACGTTCATAGCGTAGCAAGCAGTTTCCATTTTAATGCTAAAATAATATACTTGTATGTTTAAATGATTGTGATTTCATTACTCAGATAATGTAACTATTCACTGAAAAATAAAACCATACATTCTCTATATGTATTGGTGATAACAATAGACAATACTTGCTTCAGAACTATAAATAAGTGATCACACCGTCAATCATTAAAATGGGCAAATAATTGTCATGCATAAAGGAACAAACTATGAAGATAGTAAATGCTCAGCCAAGATCCACAATACAAGATATTCCATATTTGTTTCTGCTTGATTCGGACAAAATAAATAACATTTTTCATTTCCTAAAGAAAGAATACAGTAATAACAGCAGTCTGTTTAAGTCATAACTTCCCCACTGTCCTCTATTTTCCTATAATTAAAAAAACATAAAGCTAATAGCAAGGAGGAAAGGTTAAGAACCCAAAGTCGCAAAGCACAGCTTATTTACACGACCAAGTATAATTTAAGGGATGAGCTAAGAAACGACAGTGCACTTTTTAATAGAAAAAAATTATTAATTAAAATGTTTACGCTTTCAGAGTCGAAATAAAAATATTACACCACACAGGGGAGAAAATTCAAGTAAACTGAGAGGAAGAGCCTTTGCCCAACATAACGTTTGCACATTATGTGCTGAAGGGAGATTAAATACGATACCAAATATTCAGCGGGCTAACAATTATTTAATACAGGGAAAGCTAAAATAAAACACAGCCTAAGCACAGTCAAATACAAAATATTTGTGTAGCTAAAATCTAACTTCAAGAACAGGCACTTTGCACTTGGCCAACTACGGCACGAGGGCCAGGGCGTCTGGGTGTCAGCTCGGCAGAAGCCGGCAGGGCCACCGCCGCAGCCCCAGGAGCACTCAGGTGGCCAGTGGAACCATTTCCGTGGGGAAGCTAGTCCAGCTGCCGCTGCCAAGAAGGCAACAGCCACCAAGTGTCACGTGCGGGGTCCCCATAGCGCCCAGGGAGCCTCCAGGCCCTGGGAACACGGTGTGCAGCGAAGAACAGCACAGGGCAGTAGAAAGATCAAGAAACACAAGAGAAGACAGACAGCAACGTTCGAAATGCTGCCGGGAAGCCAGAGCAAAACCCTGAGGTTCTCTCCAGCCTCCTGGCGACGGGCACATCTCCGCCACATGACTCTTCGTGCCAGGTGCTAACCGGGAGCTCCGCAGTGCGCAGGAGTGGGGGTGCTCAGGGGCGGAAAGCGGGAGCATCGCCGAGCACGGAAAAGGATACCGCTTCCTGCCAACTCACTGGACGAGGCTGACGGGCAAAGCTAGGGCCACCTTCGGGAACTGTGGCCGGGGCAGAACTGAGAGAATGCAGGTGCAGAGTCGGGTATCTGAAGCAAGGCCTCGTATCGCTGGCTTTGCCCCTTCCAGATCAGCCAGCGCCCAGAGCAGATGCTGACGGCATCCCAGACAACGCGGGTCACCAGCACAAGGCACGCAGAGCTGCCACTCACACGACCCTCTGCTTCCGGCAGTGGGACTGAGACAGTAACGCTTTCCTCAAAAACGATAAAAACGACCTGGAAAAATGCACTACTTAGCACAGTGCCTACTGGCCACCTATTGTTCAGCAAATGACAACCATCACACACGTGACGCCACGCGGTGATCTAGGGGTGAACCATGTCGATGTCCACGGCTGCAAACCCAGGCCGTGGAGCCTGAAGCCAACAGAGCCAGGCACACAGAGACTCCTGTCAACTACGTTTGGAACCTGCGAGCCTGCCCTCTGACCGACACAGGGTGCCCCATGTGACACTCACAAAAGCCACCGGAGGATGGGCATGAGGAAGCCACGCTGGCCAGCATAGGTACATGACAGCAGGGTGGAAGCCAAGCTTCAACAGAAAGAGTACAGACCCTGCGGTCAAAATTCCTGGGAGGAAGAAAAGGTTCAGTGATTGTATAATCTTCAATAAGCAAAGGTGGCTGAACTTAAAACACGATTAAATGTTTAAGGATTATCCCTTTATTTCACTTTGCCTTGTTAAATAGTATGACTTGCTTCTCATTGGAAACATGTAAAATTTAGCAAAGTTGAAAAGGTGATATTTAAATCGTTTGCACAGTGCCTACTGGCCACCTATTGTTCAGCAAATGACAACCATCACACACGTGATGCCACGCGGTGATCTAGGGGTGAACCATGCCGATGTCCACGGCTGCAAACCCAGGCCGTGGAGCCTGAAGCCAACAGAGTCAGGCACACTGAGACTGTGGTGGGGTTCGGGGAACACAGCCAGTGGTGTTCAGGACTTACTCCCGGCTCTGCGCTCAGGGATCCCTCCAGACAGGGTTCAGGGAGAGTAAGAGGCACCAAGAATCAAACCCTGGCCCACGACGAAAAACATACGTGCCATATTCCCCACTGTCTACCTCTCCGGCCCCATCTGTATGCTCTTAAACCCAACTCTCCAACTCTTAACACTGCAGAATATCTGGGCGCCCTACCTCTCTGTTTATCTCTGTGTATAAATACATGTAATTTTTCTTTCTGACATATCATCTAAAAGGCAGTTACTGAGATGGTGCCCTTTCTCCTTATCCCAAGGACACACTTCAACCCACAAAATGTGAGTCCTGCCAGGACAATTAACACTGGAACAAAGAATCATTAACTACAGAAGCTATACCTAAACCTGCCACCCACCTCAAAAAGTAAACAACAACAGAACTTTAACTCAGAGTACATCCCGTGCTGAAGGTCAGGAAGAAACCCTGGTTTCGTTCTCATTTCTAGGTTTCTGGGTCACACTTGGTGGTGCTCAGGGCTGGTCCTGCCTCTGCACTCGGGGATAACTTGTGACCATACGAGGTGCCGGGGTCTGAACCCGGGCGAGCAGTGCCCGAACTACTATGCTGGTCTCCAGCCCCTCGGGCTTGTTTTCGTGAAAAGGGAGATTTGTAGAGCCAGATGGAGCTGCAAACCATGAGAAATATGCCTGGGGTTTTGGTGGATGAAGCCCTTTCCATGCACAAAGCTAAGATGTCAATAAATAAACACATAACCAAACTAACAAAGAAAAAAAGAAATATACATAAAGGATCACAACCTCATAGTGAGATAAGGTACAGAAATGTACAATTACAATGGCATCTTTCTTCATAATCCACAGTCCACAGTGCTCACCGATCAGCACCTGTTTCTTCATGACTGTTTCTTTTCTTTTTTTTCTTTTTTTCTTTTTTTTTTTTTTTTTTTTTGCTTTTTGGGTCACACCCGGCAATGCACAGGGGTTACTCCTGGCTCTGCATTCAGGAATCACCCCTGGCGGTGCTCAGGGGATTCTATGGGATGCTGGGAATCGAACCCGGGGTTGGCCGCGTGCAAGGCAAACGCCCTACCCACTGTGCTATCGCTCCAGCCCCCTCACGACTGTTTCTTAATAAAAACCGACTGTCCTCTCTCTGCCTGCGCCATACACAGGACCACTCTCCACGACAGCTCGCCCAAGGCCCATGACCACAACGCGTCCCAAAGGTACGGCAGACACACTGCTGCTCAAACACACTTTCTGTTCCTTTCCTGAACTGACAAAACCTCTAGGCTCAGCAAGGCACTACTAGGCCTCAACTGTCATTGGGTCCAAGTCATTCCAAATGTTGGAATATACCCTCAAGGAAGAAATGAAAGACCAAAACGCCCCATTCTCAGACGGAGAACAACCTGCAAGCTCAATAGCAGTTAAGACATGAAGCAGAATAAAAGTACAAAATGTTTATGATGACCTGGTGAATTTGTAAAGGACA